TCAGTCCCCTGTGACTTCCCTCCATCCTCACTAACAGCACCAAGAACTTTGAAGGGTAACCTGGTTTGGCCATTATTATCCAGACAACATCACACGCACCCCAGAGTGTTAGAAATGTAGCATCAAGCTGAGGGGTGAGGTTCAGTTGGTAGAGTACTTGCTCAGTATGCAGGAAGTCCTGGGTTCTCCAGCACCACATAAGCCAGGTGTGGTGACACAGGCCTTGGGAGGTAGAAACAGAAAAATCAGAAGTTCAAGGTCATCCTCAGCACTACATAGTGAGCTGGGGGTCAGCCTGGGCTTTGTGAGACCTTATCTCAAAAACAACAACAACAAAAACCAAAAAAAACCAAACCAACAAAGAAACAAACAAGCCGGGCGGTGGTGGCACACGCCTTTAATCCCAGCACTTGGGAGGCAGAGGCAGGCGGATCTCTCTGAGTTCAAGGCCAGCCTGGGCTACCAAGTGAGTTCCAGGAAAGGCGCAAAGCTGCACAGAGAAATCCTATCTCGAAAAACAAAACAACATCAACAAAAAAGAAACAAACAAACAAACAAAAAAAAAACAAAAAGAAACCTTTGTCTAACTCAATGTCCCCATGACTTTGAGTGCCTAGCACAAGGGACATTTCCTCAGCTGTTGGGCACACTATACAACCCAGAATGCATATGGTGCCTTGGACACACCAGCAGCAATTCCTGCCACACGTCTGGCTGACTCCACCAGTGAGCGGTGACGTTCAGGGTGAAGCCTGATGTTTCACTTTCTCTGCGACGTCAACATTGCAGCTCAGCACCCCTCCCTGGCAGAGGATGAAGGTGGGAGGGTCGGTGCCCTGTAAGGTAGACATGAGAAAAGTTCTCAAGCCAATGAAACACGCTGAGTATCTGTTAAAAATGTCTTGGGCTTGGAGCTGGGGAGAAGGCTCAGTGGTTAAGAGTACTGGCTGCTCTTCCTAAAGGACCCTGGTTCAGTTCCCAGCACCCACATGGCAGCTCATAACTGTCTGTAACTCCAGTTCCGGGCAATCTGACACCTTCACACAGACATGCATGCAGGGAAAACATGAATGCGCATGAAATAAAAATAAATTAGTTTTTAAAATGTCTTGAGCCTGGTGTGGTGGTGCATGCATTCAATCATGGCATTCAGGAGGCAGAGGCAGGGGGATCTCTGTGAGTTTGAGGCCAGCCTGATCTACAGAGTAAGTTCCAGGTCAACCTGGGCTACACATAAACCCTGTCTCAAAAAAAAAAAAAAAAAAAAAAAAAAAAAAAACGAAAGAAAGAAAGAAGCATAAAAACAAGATACTACCCAAATTAAAGATTCTCTGGAGATGTGTAAATGCACCAAGTTTTCCTCAGCTATCAGCAGACAGATGACAAGATTTCTATAAAGGACACTGGAGAGATGGCTCAGTGGTTAAGAGCACTGTTCTTGCAGGGGACCCAGGTTTGGTTCCCAGCACCCACATGGCAGTTCACAACTGTCTGTAACTCCAGTTCTCAAAAAACAAAACAAAAGAGTGGACAAGAACGCTACAGAACTGTCTGCAATCTGAAGGGCTGTTAGGCCAGCCAGGCCAGCGTTAAGCTGCTAGCACTCTCTTCCACCCGCATTAGGTGTTTGGTGCCTCTGGCTCCACTGAATGCTTTGCCCAAGGGCTTGTTCAGGAAAGGCCTGAACAATGGCTCTAATTACCCGAGTGAGACCTAGTGAGCTGAGGATCGAACCCAGGGCCTTGCGCTTGCTAGGCAAGCGCTCTACCACTGAGCTAAATCCCCAACCCTTTTTTTTTTTTTGGTCAGTCATGTTTGGTTCTATCCTAGGTCTCTAGGACATCCATCTTCCAGATCCTGGTCATCCAGGCAATGTTGGGCATGGGCTTCCTCTGTGTCTTGGACCTAGTTAGACGAGTCATTGGTTGGCCATCCCCACAAGCTCTGAGCCATTACCCCAGCACATAGTGCAGGCAGGACAAGTTGTGGATAGTAGGTTTTATGGCTGGGTTGGTGTCCCAGGCCCACCACTAGGAGCCTTGCCTGCTTACAGATGGCCAGTGTAAGCTCCATACCTCTGTTGCTAGGAGTCCTCACTAAGGTCCCGTGACCCTCATAGGTTCCAGGAAGTTCATTGTACTGTTTGTGGAAACCTAGTGTACATTTTCTAAGGTCTGTGGCCAGGGAAGCGTGGGAAGTCATTTGGCAACACTCATTGCATTGTGGAAAACAGTAGAAATCAGGAGCTCAAGGTCCAAGCAGGATGGAGACAGTGAACAAGCAGAAGCAACCAGCAAGCTGCCTCGGGAGGTGGCTGGCAGAGGCTGCTTGAGTCTGGGTTTCAAATCTTAGGCCTTTCTCGACACCTAAGTCGTGAACAGTGAATGGCTAAGACAGAAGACAAGTCCAGGACGACACAACACGGGGCCAGCACAAAGCTTGGAACTGGAAACAGCAAGGGACTCCTGTATCTGCAGGGCCACACAGGGAGCAATAACCGGAGCCCACTAATCAGATGCAGGGGCCATGAGGATAGCTCAGTGGTTGAGACCGCGCACTCAAGCTGGGCAATGGTGGTGCATGCCTTAAATCCCAAAACTCAGGGAGGCAGAGGCAGGTGGATCTCTGAGTTCAAGGCCAGCCAGAGCTACACAGAGAAAGCCTGTCTCAAAAAAAACAAAAACAAAAAAGAGTATGCACTCCGGCAGAAGACTCAAGTTCTGTTCCCAGCATCCACATTAGACACTCCAACCACCTGTTACCCAGTTCTAGGCCTCCAATAGCAACTGTGGGCATCTGCACTCAAATGAGCATACCTACATACACACAGGCATACTCACTTAAAAAAAAAACATTGTCAGGTGTGACGGTGCATGCCTTTAATTCCAGCACTCTGGAGACAGAGGCAGGCAGATCTGAGAATTCCAGGACAGCCTGGTCTACAGAGAAACCGTGTCTTGGAACACAGTACGCCCCCCCATCTCCCCACAAAAGAGGAAAACAGACCCCCCCCCAAAAAAAAGGGGAAAGAAAAGCAGGTGTGGTAGCACATGCCTTTAATCCCAGGAGGCAGAGGCAGGAGGATCCAGAGTTCAAGGCTAGCCTGGCCTACAGAGATCCTGGGAAAAGGATAGATCTGTGGGTGTCTGTAGAGCAGCTGTGGATGGAAGAGCAGTCTGAGGCCGCTGGAGCTCAGCCTTGTACCTGATCCCTCTCCCACTCCCTCTGAAGCCCTAGTTGGGAACTTCCCCCTCCCCCCAAAAAAAGCCACAGGGTGAGGAGGTGTCCATGTTACCTTCCTGGGAGCACCCAGCCAAGAGGACCAGGGAGAAGGGGTCTGCCGGGGACACAGTGGAGCCATTTGCTGACTGCCACTTCCTTCATCTGTAAAACTAGGGTGATGAGACGATCTCCTTGCCACGCTGAGGCAGGGCCTACATCATATAACAGATGCTAGGCACTGGCATGGAGCCTGGCAGGTAACTCTTAAAGCATGGTGGTTATTCTTATAATGTAAGTGGGGTAAAACTGGGCTGAGGCAGCCAGGCGAACCCTGGAATAACCACATTCAAAGGGCAGTTGCACCTACTTGCCTGAGTCAATGACTTCCAAGTCCAGACTGCCCTGACTATACTTTAGAATTCATACAAAAAGAAAAAAATTCACACCCAGCCCTTCCCACCAACAGAGTGGCTTTCAGGTGTATTGTCACAAAACACCATTTGCTTAAAGCATACTGAGAGGATGCATCCATTTCTTTTTAAAAATAAAAAGCCAGTTAACAAAATCAGCTCATGGGGCCAGTCATGGCAAGCACCTTTAATCCCAGTACTCAGGCAGAAGCAGGTGGATCCACCTCTGTAGGTTTGAGACCAATGTAAGCACCAGGCAATGCCAAACGGTACACATACATACATGCAAAACATTCACACATTAAGATAAATCTAAAAAACTGGCAAGAGAATGTACTGAGCCAGTAAAAAGTACCACCACACAAGCCCAAGTGTGTTCCTGACCCCTGGACCCCATCAACAGAACTCAGCATCAACTAGGGCTGTCTTCTGACCTTTTTACATGCATGTCATAGAGGTCAGCCTGGGCTACATAGGTTACCTAGCTTGGTTAGATCCTGGATTTGGTACCCTGAATGGAGCTGTCCTGCAGATCCCAAAACCAATCTTCAAGTAGACAATTTGAGGGAAATTGTGGTTTTCCTTACTGAGCAACTAAGCATCAAGGACAGACCCCAGAAACCACAGGGGAGGTGCTCCTGGGACAAATAACAAAAAACTTAAGAGTTTACTTCAGCTCACTTGAGCTGGTCAGAGCAGCCAAAGATAAGTCTCTCCTCTTGGGGCGCAGCTCACAAACTGCCCCTCAGCTAAGCTTATTATGATACACCTAGACCAACCCAACCAGTTCCTCAGCCTGCTTTGTGGGTCTATCAGACCAGGGTTGAGCTGGGAAAGTACAGCTCTGAGCCATTTTCCTAATCAATACCTGTCCCAAGTGGAGATGCCAGCATGCTCTACTTCTATGAGCTAGTAGCTCAACACTGACCTGCCATTAAGCCAAATGTCTTATTCAAAGTCTACATGGGAGGAGCTGAGACCACTCTGATGTTTAGATATATTACAGGGGTATATCCAAAAAGGAGTTTGATGGAAATGGGCCAAGTGAAAAACTCTGAAAGTTATATACGTCTTCAAGGTGAGCAAACTAAAGAGGAATCAATCACTAATCTGGAACTAGGCATGGATCAAGCCTACTCCAGGCAATTGCCCTCCAGTTCCAGAAGCCAGGAACAGCATGAAAGGTTAGCCACAATCAGGCTGACCTGCAACTTTCAAGCTGTCCTTAGTGTGGCAACTATTGGACCCAACTTCATGGGACCATTTTAGACAGCTAGTCACAACAGTCCCACTTGGGAGGCAATGGGATATGTTCACAGGAAGCAGCTGCTGATCCTACCCAGAAGAGCAAATAAATGCAAACAGACACCTAGTCAGACTTTTATTTCTACAGATTAAGAGGCCAAAGGTTTCTGCTACTCAGTATTTCCAGTAGCAGTGCACACTATACCACACCCCAGTCAAGGTCCTTGGGCCAAATGTACAAATGCCTTGTGGGATGGGGCCAGCAGGAGACAGGTCTGTGTCCAGAGAAGTGCCTAAAAAGAAAATAAAAACCAAAAGGTTGATAGTCTTGTCTGATACAGATTTTATCTGGTTGAAACTCATCCTATTTAACGTCAGATACCAGGGCAGAATTCCCAGAAATGACTGTACATCCCCCTTCAATCTCATTCACTTGACAGCATGGTGAATTTCAGGGTCTTCAACAGCTGAATGCATCTTTAATGAGTTCAAAAGGCCAAAGGAGAGGAACTTGGGAACCTTAACAGCATGCAGAACAGCAAGATGTCCTAACAATTGTCCACACCTAATACTAACATCTCCAGAACTGGGTCAAAACCATCAACAACAGAATCTTACCTGTTTCAGGACACTGAAATCAAGGGAGATCAGACACACTGGCATCCATGGCTCCCTTAGGCCTGTACAAAGTAAACAGATGATACCAATCATAAACTAAACAGATCAAGGCCAAAACAAGTAATTATTCCTGGGGCCAATGCATCAGACAAAACTGGCTATTAGTTATGAGATCAACAGGGTCGATCTGATGGGGAAAAAAGTTATGTCATCAGCTGCATCAGCCAAATGATGTCAAAAGAAACAATTCTATACTGAAAGATAAGAGCTTAGGGGCTCTATGCCCAGCAGAGGGACACATGGGAATCACTTACCAATCCTTTCTTACTCTGGAATTTACCCTCCATTCAATTCAGCTGTCAGCAAACCTGAGACAAAATGCAGAAAAACATCAGCTACCTGGACAAGGGACAGAGCAGCAGCTTGTCCTGCTCAAGCAGGCATGTCAGACAAACTGGCTTGGAAGAGTTGAGATCAACATGGTCGATCTGACGGGGAAAAAATTCTGTCATCATACACGCCTGGACACTCCTGAGCCTAGTCCTAGTAGGTAGTTAGTGCTAGATCCCTCCTTCAAAAGCAACAATTATAACACACTCAAGATGGTCAAGGCCCACTGCCTGCCACAATAAACCCTACCCTAAGTGAACAACTAACTGGACCGTTCACATGCAAATAATCTGTTGTCCTGTCAGACACATAGCAGCCTATGTCTCTAAATACGATGCAGCCTGAGTGGCCTCAAATTGGTCATCTGCCTGGGCCTACCTCCTGAGTGCTGTGACTTAAAGCAGTTAAAGCATTCTTAAGAAATCCCGATAACTTGAGACTCAGGGCTCAGACATTACCTACTCACAATGGGCTGAGCCCTCCCATAGCAATTGCTAAGAAAATGTGCTACAAGCTTGCTTACAAGCCAATTTCATGGGAGCACTCTTCCAATCTAGCTTCCTTCTCAGGTAACTAGCTTGACTCAAGTTGCCAAAAAACAAAACCAACCAGGTCGGGAATTTAAATGCATAGGTTGAGTCTAGAACAGAATACTGCATCCCCTGGAACTGGAGGTACAGATATGATGGAATGAAAATGAATGAGGCATTCTAAAAGCAATCTGCATGTTTCTATTAAAACTGTCCATTCATGGGATGGAGCAATGACTCAGGTTAAGAGCACTAGCTGCTCTTCCAGGTCGGGCGTTCAATTCCCAGCAACCACATGGTGGCTCACAACTATCCAGAACACTGTATAAAATATAATAAATCTTTAAAAATTTACTAATCTCAGCATTAAATCTTGCATTCGAATTCCAAATCAGTTGAAGACAAATCGCACCTTAAGACCGTGGGCGTTATTCTCATCTTCCTGGGGGCTCAAAGGTGACGTCTCCTTTCCCGTACTGCTTGACCATGCCCACCTGCAAAACAAAGACATGAATCGCCATCTTCCCTCGATCAGAACAAAGCCGACCAGGGCCTTTGTGGGCTGGCGTATCAGAATTAACTGGCAAAATATTTTCAGAGATCAGCATTGTCGATATGACGGGGAAAAAAGTGAAGTCATCATTTACACCAGCCAAGAGCTTTCCAGGCCTGTCTTTTCCATCTAAATCAATTCCCCGAAGGTCAACCCAGTGCTGGCGCTGGACAGGCCACGCCGTGAGGCTATGGCCGGTTACAGCGACGACAGCATAAACTTGGTAAAAGGTGATCAGAAAATTGTGCCGTGGTAACTCACCATCTGCAAATAACTCCCGCGTGGACGAGACATAACGCGTGGACATGACATGGCGGACAAAGCGCGTCTCATGAACGAAAGGACGAGGTAGATGGCGGACCTTCCTTATATATACACCAAGGCCACGCGTGCGCCTGCGCACTGGGCCTCAGGGGGCGCCGCTTCCGGCCGCGGCCGCTACGCCCCCTGGGAAATAGAGTCCCCGAGCCGCCCGGCCCCTGCTCGCTAATGGTTGTCCAGCCCGCATCTAGCCCCTCCCCGTGCTCACTGGGCCTCCGGGGCTGCTCAGCCTCCGCGCCATGTCGCGCTTGGCACGCACGAGCCGCCCGCCGCGTCCCCCCTGCTCCGGGGCCGGCCGAGACCTGCGGCCGCCGGGGCCGCAGTCAGCCCGCCCCCCGCCGCGCCCTCCCCTCAGCCGCGCCCGCGGGAGCCGCCAGTCCAGCCGCCGCCGCGGGGGCTGAGGCGACACCGCCCTTCCGCCCGCCCCGAGGGCGGGGGCGCAGGCGAGCTCAGCCCGGCCTCTCGCTAGCGCCCGCGGCACCGCCTCCTCGTCCTGCGCGGCCTCCTCCTCCTCCTCCCGGCCGCCCACCCGGCTCCTCGCCCCGCCCAGGGGCTGCGGGGACTGGAAACCGAAAGTGCGCGGCGCCGGGCGGGGCCGCGACCTGCCAGGGCCGAAGCTGAGCGCTAGCCCGGCCGAGGACGCGCCCGAATCGGTGAGTGGCCTCTGCCCCATCCCGCACCTGCTCCTGCGGCGCCGCGATCGCCGGCGCCCCGCTCTGCCTCCGACCCGGTGTCAGGTTAGCCCCGGAGCCCCTGTCTGCCCCGCTCAGCGCCCCTGGAGTCCCTGACCCCTTCCCTCAGTTCTCCTATAGCCCTCGGGGTCTCTGTCCCCTTCTGTCAGTTCTCCTGTAGCCCTCGGAGTCTCTGCCTCCTTCCCTGAGTTCCTTTATAGTCCCCAGAGGCCCTGTTCCCTTTCCTCAGTTTCCCTCAGTTCTCCTATAGCCCCCGGAGTCCCTGTCCCCATCCTTCAGCGCCCCCATCATCCCCGGAGTCCCTGTCTGCTCCTTACAGCCCCCGGAGTCCCTGTCTGCTCCCTCAGCTCTCCATCATCCCCGGAGTCCCTGTCTGCTCCCTCAGCTCTCCATCATCCCCGGAGTCCCTGTCTGCTCCCTCAGCTCTCCGTCATCCCCGGAGTACCTATCCTTTCTCCTCAGTGCACCCTCAGCTCCCATCACCCCTAGAGTTGTTTTCCACCGTCCTTACCACCCCCAGAGTCCTCCCAGCTCCTTAGCTCCACCATCACCCTCTGTCCTCAGTATTGTTATCAGCAGCCCCATCACCCCTGAATCCCTGCTCCTTCCCATCAGCTCACCATCAGTCCCCAGAGTTCCTGTCTCCTCTCCCCCTCCCCCAGCACCCAGCAGCTCTTGAGCGCCTAGCACTGCCATTGCCCCCCTCCCCTTCTCTTCAGCCTACCTGTCACCACCCTGATCACCCCCCCCCACACACAGTGCCCCTTCATCTCAGCACCCTGTCACCCCTAGGAGCCTTCTTCAGCATCCCCTCAACTCATCATCAGTAGTCTCCACTGCATCCCCACAGTCCCCATCCTGCTTGTGATCCCAGCCTCTGGAGCCTCACCATCTCCATTCCTCGTTCTTCTCTCTGTCCCCACTTCTGCCACAAACACCCCTTGCCTCTGGCTTCATTTCTTTGGCCTCATTCATCCAGCGCCTGCAGAACACCCTGGGCTCTCCATCCCTAAGCTCTGCTCCACTTCTAGAAGCCCCCAGATCTCTCCAGCTTGCTCTAAGGGATGAGTGTGTGATGACTTCTCTGAGGACTTGAAACAGCCCAGCTGCCACCTCTTGCTCCACCTCTTTCATCCACCCCGTAATTACCGCTCTCTAATTTTTATCCTGGCAACAGCTTAACCATTGCTGATCTCCTTCCCACCCTCCCTGCCTTGATTCCCTCAGAACGCTAAACAAAGCCTTCCCCTCTCCTGTGTGCATCTCCCTTTCTAGCACTTTTTTCTTCCCTTTTTTTTTTAACACTCCCAAACTGCTGGCATTCTATTTTAGTATTTTTCAAAATGAAGAAAAAGGAATTTTCTTCTCAGAAAAATTAAAAATGAACACTAACCATTGAGCCTGCAGTGTGAGAACAGGGTTTGGTAAGATGAGAAGAATAGACACCACAAAAAATATTCCCAGCGGGAAGAAAAGGGACTCTTTTTTTTCTGATAAGAATAAAAGCTACCTCTCATACAATGCCAAATCTATTCACAGTTTCCAACTATGAATATTTTAAAACTGTGAGGACAGTCTCAAAAATCCTTTTGCTGAGAACTGAGTCACCGCCACCCCACCCCCCTGCACCCACATGATATGCATGAGTTATATCGAGAAGTTCCCTGAAGGGGCTTCCTCTTTACCCAGCGTCAGAAATTATCAAGATGGAAGAAAGGCGAGAACTGCTGACTTCTAGCTGGCCCCGAGGAAACAGCACTAATAGCTCACTTGCTTTCAAGCTGTAGGGAGCAGGACCCTCTAGAAGGCTGTGTCATAAGAATGCCAGGGAGGAAGCCGGGTGTGGTGGTGCATTCCTTTAATGCCAGCATGCAGAGGCAGAGGCAGGCAGGTCTCTGAGTTCAAGGCCAGCCTGGTCTATAGAGGGAGTTCCAGGACAGCCAAGGCTACACAGAGAAACCCTGTCTGGAAAAAAAGGAGAAAAAAAAAAAAAGAAAAAAGAATGCCAGGTAGGGTGGTGGGTACTTGGGTAGTTTGTTGAAGCACTGTCTCACATCATATAGTCCACATGGGTCTCAGACTCAGCGGAGGCTGCTTTTGAATTTCTGATCTTCTGTTTCTACTTCTCAAGTGCTCTTAAGTTCTGATGTGTCTGCCTCCACCTCCCAGGAGCTGAGCTGAGATGATGGGCATGCACACTGTGGCTAGCTAGTGAATTGACACTTTTGCCCTAACAATCATTTTGTAAGAAAGGAAACGAAACCTAAGCAATTGATTAAGTAACTTGGCTGAAGGCAAACCAAACAGTAGTTTGGGAGTTAATGACACTCTGTCCCCAGCCAGGTACAGGAGTCCGGGAATGGGCAGTTGGATCTCTTGGAATTGCCTAAATTGTGAACTTAGTTTATATCATCGTTGGAAATCCACGAGGTTGAGTGCTTGTGCCCATGATTAAAATCTGCATTTACTATCTTCTTAGTTAATAAATCACTAACCTGTAAAAGCAGAAAAGCTGGCTTACGGTGTTTGAGTGTTTGCTGTGTTTGAGGGGCACTGGTAACTCTCAGCCTGTGCAGTTACAGATAACTTAAGTCAGGTGAATGTGGAAGAATTCCTGGAGCTCAGACATGGAAGACAGAAGACCACATCTGGAGGCCAGGCCCAGGAATCCCCCTACCAACTACAGAGGTAAGCAGGGTTTCTACCCAGTGAAAAGGAGAAGCCCACCTGGGGATGGCTTATGTTTTTCAATCAAGAAGGATCTCCTTTCCAGGCAATGGTGGCACACACCTTTAATCCCAGCACTCAGGAGACAGAGACAGGCCGATCTCTGAGTTCAAGGCCAGCCTTGGTCTACAGAGTGAATTTCAGAACAGGCAGGGCTACACAGAGAGACCCTGCCTTCAAAAACCAAAAAAAGGAAAAAGACCTCCTTAGCTGCAGCATGAATGACAGGAAAAACAGCCCACATAGGAGAGTAGCTGGGAGTGGGTACTGATGGGCGTAAGGCCTGTCATTCCAGCACTGGAGGAGGCAAGAGGGTTGAGGATTTGAGGCCAGCTGAACAGTGACATAAAGGCCCCCTGGAGTTCCGTAGTGAAACTTTGTCTCAGAAACCAGGACTGGGGGTGTAGCTCGTGATAGAGTGCTTGCCTCAACTCCTACCATGCAGAATGCTCTTGTTTGGTCCCTGGCACTGTGAGGGTTAGAAAGTGATTGGATGGGAAAATCAAAATGATTCCTGGTTTGCAGCAGGGCTATCCAATAGAAACTTGGGACAGCTAAAAACTACTTTGTAATCTCTAATAGCATCATTAGGAAATTTCAAAGATAGCCAGTAACATTTATTTTTATGACATTTATTTATTTATTTATGTGTGTGTTTGTGCCTGTGGAAATCAGAGGATATCTCATAAAAGTTGTTGTTTTGTTTTTTTTTTCTTCGAGACAGGGTTTCTCTGTGTAGCTTTGCGCCTTTCCTGGATCTCGCTCTGTAGATCAGGCTGGCCTCGAACTCACAAAGATCCGCCTGCCTCTGCCTCCCGAGTGCTGGGACTAAAGGCGTGCGCCACCACTGCCCGGCAAAAGTTGGTTTTTTTCCTTCTACTCTGTGGGTCTTGAGGACTGAACTCAGATTTTCAGGGTTGGTAGCAAGTGCCCTTATCTACTGAGCCATCTCACTGACCTTGAAAAAAATTTTTAATTTAATGCTAATTTAATAAAATGTAGTGCTCTAATTCCTTGACTTCATCAAATCCAAAATATTAACATTTTATGAGAATTAATGCATGTATAGATATACATGAGCCAAAACATTCATATACATAAAATAATAATATATTTTTAAAAATTTAGAGGCCAGCTTGGTTTACAGGGTTAGACCCTGTCTCAGAAAAAAAAAAAAAAAAAAAAAAAAGGACCTGGCCAGATATGGTGGCATACCTCTTTAATCTCAGCAGCAGGGAGGCAGAGGCAACAAATTCTGTGAGTTTTAAGCCAGTCTAGTCTATGTAGTGAATTCCAGGCCAGGCAAGATTACACACTGAGACCCTGTATCAAAAAACAAAATAACACAACAAAAAAATACCTAAGTGTATTTTGCATCTGATGTGAGATAGTCCATCTTCTTAAGTATTACATATATTTGTAACTTTCCTAGCTTATTGTCAAATTGTGCAGAGCCAGTGTTTTATAAAACTCCACACCACTCTGCTAAGGTAAATCAGATCTGGAGTCAGTCTTAGAGGAAAGAAAAGTGACTGTGAGTGTGCCTAGCAAGGGCAGCCCACTGCACAGGGTGCTGGCTCCCAGGGTGCTGTGGGGCACCATCCTCCCCTCAGGCTTCCTTTGTGAGGAGGGCAATAGATGGGGGGAGGGGAGGGGAGGCTGTGGCTGATGACACACGACTGGAGTTTCGCTTTTCAGTTTCCTGAATCAAAGTTTAAGTTTCCTTTTCCTTGTGAGGAAACTGGATGTGCATGCTTCATTTTCTCCACAATCTGTCAGTTAGCCACAAAAATAAAACTAAAAACATGTTGGAAGAGGAAGTGCTGCCTTCCTCTGTCCCATTCAAGTTGCATTTCCTGTTGCTGGGCAAAGGTCAGGTAGTG